CTTACCAAGTGGAAAAGAGGCTACACCACTTCCGCCAACGGTGGCCAGCTGCATTGCAACGAGGGCAAACGGTCGGCTACATGACCAAGTGCAACCTAGCGGCCCTGGTAGAGAACCCTCCAATAGGTGCCCCTGGTGAGGCCTTGTCCCTTGGGGATTGCCTTGCCATTCTGAAACGCGCACCGGAACTCCCTTTGAGGGACTTAGCGGGTAAGGAGTTTTTGCTTTTGTCTTGTTTTACTCCTTGTTTAGAGGAGTTGACTGGCTACAAATACACTTGCCTGCATGTCTGTATACTGCCGCTCCTATCAATACAACGACCATTCGAGAGAGAGAGAGGGAGATGGGGAGTGAGCAAGAGAGGGAGGGAGAAAGGGGTCTAGTGGGTAGCGAGTCATATACTGGTATCAGAGCCTAGGGTTAAACTCCTGACAGGTCCACATTTTCCGCCGGTGGCGAGAACACGAATGTGGCTACCAACTTGAACGCAGCGAATGATCCTCCGCTGGCTTGAGCCACCAACGAAGTCGCTGCTAGCTGCACAGCAAAATCCAGGTCCCTTGTGGGGGGGGGACTTCCTAAAGTTCAGAGCCAATAGAGACGTTGGCACCAGGGGGAGACGAATGTAATGCCTGTGGGCTAGTGTTAAGGGCATCCGCTGCGCCTAAATAACACCCTCGTTTTGTCCCGGTGGGTAGCGATGCGTTATAAGAAGTGCAGCAAGTTCAAGGAAGCGATGACGATGAGGGGATGTGTAGGTAATGTGGGAATACGCGTGCGACGAAGGGAAACATATGCAACCAGCGGCAACGTGCGTGACGTGGACCCAAAATGATGGCGCGTGAGAGATTCGTGACTAAAACGGTAGGAGCGAAAGGAGGCTGAACCGAGTGCGTCCTATGAGCATGAGTGTGCGACGCGAAGTTGAAAGCAAGGCGTGCGAGTGACGGCGAAAATTGTACGCTAACGTATGTGAAGCTAAGGGGGGTGTTATACAAGACCGTCAACACGAGCGATATAGCTGACGAGCGATTGAGTTCATGATCAAGAGTGGGCCAGTGATTGGAGCAGTTAAGAGATTGGGGTGAGGGATAGGAGAGTGCACTCGCTAAAATGATGTGAGGTTGGTACCTACCGTATGTTTCTTTTCGGAAGAAACATACGATTCTAGTGGCTCACTTTTGCCTACTACTGCTAGTTTTTGCCCTGGAGCCTCCTAGTTGACAAGTACTACTTGATTTTCAAGTTACATAAGTTGTGAATAATGCAACTGGTGGGCGATCATCACTTCAGTTTTGCCTTCGGGCACATAAGCCAATCAGGCCATCGTCGCAAGACGATGTCTCAGGGTCGTGAGGGTTCTTTAAGACCAAGTAGGGTAACTCTTTTTTTTACGAATGCAAGTTTAAGAATCTTGAACTTCAAAACAATCATGTTGTGTTCGGTCTTTAACTGAAAACTGGATATACCTCGGGATACGGACTAATTTTCCTTGTTGATTCCACGTTGAGCATATCCTTACATATGCAGCCACTTAGGCATAGGAATAGAAAACTACAGTCATAGATTATAACCACATGCGACTGTGGTAGACTTTGAAATGCACTAGATTCAGCAAACAACGTCGCCCACATCAGCTCTGTCCATAACAGTCACGCTGAGCCCAGGTGGGTGTCTCGATGATATTTCAATTATGCAGAGCACTCTTCCGGGCGGAAAGTTTGTCAGGTTGGAAATTATGTGTACACATGATGCCCAATCCTATCCCATGAATTTTCTAAACCCATTCAGAAACCGTACCCCTCGTGCGTTCGAACAAGGGCAACAACCCATCGTGTACGATCCACGTTTTTTATCGCAACCGTTGACCACTCAACTTATCACATCGCCATCCATCCGTTCTTAAGTTTTTTTTTGAAAGCATTACCACTTGAGGCACAGGAAAAGTCGCATACTACTTGCATTCCCATTTGTTTTCCCGTGGCGAAGGTTGTTAGGTATGCAAAAGGCCTATGTTTACTCCAGTCCATTTTACAGGGAAAATGTAGCGTACATCTAACGCGCATCAAGTGTACGTTTTTTTGCACTGTTTGGCCGGACATGAACAGTTTGAGCAACACGTCTTCGGTTGGGTTGTCGCTGGGTAGGCGACGTTGCGCCTACTGGGCATGTGGCTCAGCTGGTACACCTGGCTGTCTGGCTCGTTGGCTTTTGTTGCATTGCACGCCACCCCCTCAAGGAAATTAGGCCGCAGTTTTTTCGCGGGGAAATTATATAGGAGGTCACAATTATGCCCGTTTTATCACGTTTGGTTACATGGGTATCACAAACAGTCACAGTACAGTAGATTTCTATCGCGGGTGATCACAGTGCTATCACGGATGGTCACTCCCCCCCCCGAAAAGCAATCACGTATGGTCACTCGATGAAACGATCATAATTAATTTGAAACTACGAAAGAAACAGTAGAAATTTTAGTGAATCCCAACCTTGATTGCTTGTGACCCCGCGCATTATTCTAGCCCTGACATTTAGGGAATTGAAGAAAAAAATAAAACCCCTACTGGATAGCACGTCATTCGGGAGGCATCAACCCTAAACACTGTGCGACAAGATGTTTAGGGTTGATGCTCCCGAATCATCCGAACGGGTTTTAGTTTTTGTACTGGGAGCAAAAATGAACCTTAGACTTTCACCCGTCTAAAAGTGGTATTCTTAGGGACATTATGCATCGTTCGAACAGTGGACATTCGAATAGTAAAGAAGAAATTGCAGATGTTTTTAACGAGTTACCGAGAGTTGTCGCGAAACTTTTTCGTAATACTACGGACAAAACGGCGCGCGGGATAAAATCTCCCATGAATCCCTACAGTGACTCGAGTAGTTACAATTCTCGATTGGGCGTTTCATCTGTGACCAAACGTGATAGACTTGCTGGGCAAGGTGTGACTATCCGTGATAGCACTGTGATCACACGCGATAGTTACGAGGTGTACTGTGACTGTTCGTGATACCCCCGTGACCAAATGTGATATATCGGGCCTAATTGTGACTACCCATATAATTTCCCTTTTTCGCGTGTAGTGTACAACTGTAAGCGACGTTCTCGTTTCACCCAGCTCCCCATGCCCAAGGCACAAATAATAATGCGGTTGAACAAGAGATCTTGCAATAAGTCGCACATGTAACCCATTATTTTCATGCGACACCTTGAGATTTAGGACTAACAAATATACTCCATCCAGGTCCTAGCACGCCCAGCAGTGGGTCGATTTCATTCCACCGAGCACTGTACCCAAGGTTGCAACTGCGACTCACGCATTCAATCATCAGTGGTGTGGGATTTTTATGAGGAATGATGGGAAGTGCGTTGATCCTGACACTGTACAGTCCAAGGCTATACGGATATTCTGGAGAGGAAGAAGGTAACAAACAGTTTGTAGCAAGTCTTAGTCAAGTCTCGGAACGACAGCTCTACTCTATTTGGAGCCCTAGGAAATGTTTGAAGTTGCGACTGGTTGGGAAACACCCTAGTCTGCTTCTTGTGGGTATTTCCGGAAAGAATCTGTTTCGTGAACGAAATTCCAGGTGTATCATGAGGATTCAGGACAGGATGGGTCAGTTGACTCGGCAACAAGGCTGTTTTTTTCGTTTTGGGCCACTCGGTAAAAAAATAGTAAATTTTGCGCGCCCCCCGCTGAGTGGCATTCGCCGTTTTCAGGGTAAAGGCCAGGATATTTCGGCGGCGCACTACACTTAGCGAGTAAAAAATCGCTGTAAAATGGTCCTCACTGACCACTCAAGCCCACCCCACCCCACCCATTCATGTCGTTCTCTGAACGAACTTCGTTACAGTAAACGAAAACCGCGTGCGGTTCGATCATATGCGACGAAGCCCACCGAAGTGGCAGCATCACTCTTCGCCAACGCAGCGTCGCACATCACAGCATCACCTGCGGTTTTCACTCGTCACGTGCGCAACAGTCGTCCATTTTTCCGGAACCTCACCAGCGAAGCAAGCCCGGAGCACCAACACGTACAGTACTGCAACAGAATCACTCAACATACTGTACACTCTCGGCTGGCAATCTCTACTGCACTGTGGGGTGGACTCACTGTAACCTCAGTCTTCGGGTTTGCGGAAATGGTTTCCCTGAGTTGTACAGGCTTGAAATGTATGCAATGAGGTTTCTGATGTGTGTGTGGGCAGCAAAATAATACCGCAATCAAAAGAAACGTCACATCCAATGGCCACTCAGGTCCTCGGGTCACCGTCACCTTTCTTTCCCCGTAGCTGAGCCGACTTTCGGGTCTTCGGAGGGCCAAACTTCGTGTCGACGCGCTTGACCTGAGACACACTTGAAGGGTTACATAGTGTACAGGGGTGATTACACTCCTCGACACGCACGATGAGGTGGTGGTGGTGGCGTGTTTTGACACGGTGTCTAAAAAACTGTGAGCGAGGAATACGTACAGTACTACGCACCATGGCACTGCTGCAACTAAAATCCATACGCCAGCCTGTCAGCACAGTAGTATGTCTTCCTTCGTGCAAGCCCAATTAGTGGCCACTCCAGCCTTTCCGAAAGGAGTCCTTTCACTCCTCCATCCAAGCGCTCCTTCCGTTTCAAGCAATATTGCCATTTCGAGGCTCCTGCAAGTTTCCGCAGATAAGGGTTTCCACTTCCTTGTGACGTTCAGTTTTGTCAAGAGTCTACGAATTGACCTCAGATTACCTAGGCTAGCAGCCCTCAAGCCTTCATTGACTAACGTCAAATTCGTAGCTCTCAACATTCTGCGGAGGTATCTTGCCCCGTTAGTAACCATTTCCCAGTCCGAAAAATAAACTGGCATCACGCAACCACAACGGTACTTCTAGGCATGGGAAGTTTGAGCGGAGGAGGCGGAGCAGAGGCTTGGGCACCAGATTCGTCGTGTCCATCCTTAAAACAAATGGTAGAAGACTCTAGCCGTTTTCGCTGGCAAAAGGTCTCGCATAAATGGCTCTGCCAACGGACTATAAAAAGGTGAGATCTGCTGAACCGGGAACCCGGTTCGAACCGGGAATCTTCTGCTTTCACCCTGAAGATGAAGAATGTCTTCAACCCGACTACTTCCACTGCACTTAGAGGCTGATTCTCTCCCATAATCTTCCAACCAGAATTTATGTTTAGTGCGTGAGAAAGCTGTGTACTCAACGTTAGATCCCCACTCTAGCACCCCCCCTCCTCCCCCCTTCCCCCTCCCCCCAACATCTACCTCACGTGTGTGTGCAAGGCCGTTCAAATGAGGCGACCGGAACAACGAATCGCCTCCCACTTTCTACGCACCTTTCTCCCATGACCCCCCCCTCCCAGGATCTACTTCACGTGTGTGCGCAAGGCCGTATAACAGAGAATGACTCCCTCTCTACTGCTCCCCGCTCCTCTCCCCCCCCCCTCCCAGGATCTACTTCACGTGTGTGTGCAAGGCCGTCACGGGATGCACGGCGCGCAAAGTGGAGGACCGCATGCCCGGCCCGCCTCGCGGCAAGCACACCGCACCTCCCGCCGCCGCTGCTGCTGTGGTTGATGCCGCTGATGTTGCTGGTTATGTGGCCGCTTTTGCTTTGGAGGATGAAAAAGGCCCCACTCGCCCCAAGCGCGTGGATATGCACAAGGAGGAAGCTTTTCATTCGTCTGCCCGCGTGGGAACGGGAGATTTCCCTTCATCTGCCCGCATGGAGATGCGCACGGTGGTGCGGCTGACGACCTCCGGATTCCACAACCACCCTTCCTCTTTGTGTCTCAAGCGACGCCGCCGCAGAGACGCCGCGGAAGGAAGCACCGCAGCTGCTGCTTCAAAAGAGGAGAAGAGCAACAAAGAGCCCCTCTCTGCCGCCCTCCAGAAGCCTCACTCCGACCCAGCGAGTCTTGAGCCAACTTCGAAACGCCCCCCAGAAAATCCTTCCAATGCATCGCGCAGTGGACATTTCACGACAATCCCTTTGTGGATTTCCGACGAGCCATCCCACGGCCCCAGAAAGACCATGGGTGCAACGGGTAAAGCACTCGCTGGCTTCATCCCGTCTTATGGCTCTCTGATTCAAGTTGAACCCAAGGAGGCTTGCACTTCCCTTGCACCTGCAGTCCTCTCGCAGAGGAGTTGTGTCACAACGCCGCGGCAGAGGGCGTTCAGAAGCGTGTGTGAGCAGATCATGGCGCTTAGCAAAGAGCCGGCAGAGATGAGCTACGATCCTTCAAAGCGGCAGAGGGCAACGCGTGTGGAATCAGAGCCGGAGGGTTTAGTGGAGAGCCCCCGCACCAGCTGCTGCCAGGAGGGGCCCTGGCCTGCGGCTCGTGCTGCATCTGCTCCTCCGTTGCTAACAGCGACCTGCGCCACTCAAGGAGTGCAACAGAGCAACCCCGGACTGCCACAGCGCTTTCCGAGCCAGTTTCCGAACCGCTTTCCGAGCCCAGCAGGTCCGACGGGCCCAACGGGCCAGTCAGGGCCAGCAGGACCGGCAGAACCAGCAGGTGTAGCAGCTTCAGCCTTTGCAGCACGCCCAGCAGGACAAATAGACCCGGCAGCCTCAACAGTTGCTCGTCCGCATGACTGGCAGATTCCGGCTCAAGCCAAGGCTGTCGAAAGCAGCAACTGCGATGTTGCGATGCTGCTGCAGGAGCTTCTGACGCCGGCTGAATGGGAGGTAGTGCTCTCGCGGATGGTCCAGAGGCAAGGACTGTTGGAGAAGGGAGCGATGCGAATAGAAGGGGTATTTGATAGCAGCAGTGCCTTCTTGCACACGACTCAAGTCGTTGGCCCGTGCAGCAGCAGCAGCAGCAGCAGCAGCAGCGGCGGCAGCTTTGTTGGTGTTCCAGGCGCTGCAGGTCAGGCTCCTGCTGCAAGCATGGATTCAGGCGTTGCTGGTGGTGGTGCTGCTGCTGCTGCTGGCGGTGCTGCTGCTGCTGGTGGCAGTGCTGCTGCTGCTGCTGCTGCTGGTGGTGGCGGTGCTACTGGTGGTGGTGCTGGTGGTGGGGGTGCTGCTGCTGCTGCTGCTGCTGCTGCTGCTGCTACGATTACTACTGTGCTCAACTCAGCAGAAGGGCTGCACACATTGGATGCATGCAAAGACCTCGCCGTTGCTTCTCAGGCTCAAGTCGGGGCTTCATCGCCACAAGAGCCCGTCCCCGCTGTTTCGTCTCCTGTTCATGCTGCTGCAGCTGTCTTACCTAACACTATGGGAGCTGCTGCCTTACCTAACACCATGGGAGCTGCTGCCTTACCTAACACCATGGGAGCTGTCCCCTTACCTAACACCATGGGAGCTGCTGCCTTACCTAACACCATGATGGGAGCTGTCACCTTACCTAACACCATGGGAGCTGTCCCCTTACCTAACAGTATGGGAGCTAACACCATGGGAGCTGCCCACTTGGATTCTATAACCGAAATAAAAGTTGAGGTTAGTATTTTTTTTCTTCTTCTTTTCTTATTCTTATTCGTGTTACTAGCGTGCTTCGTCTTCTTACATTTTCTCCTGTTGACACCATGTCCCCTCCTGTGCGTTTTCCTCCTTTGCAGGTTATGCGGCATGTATTCACAGCACTGGCTAACCCGACCCATCCTGGGTCGAACTATCCTGGCCAAACTGATACCTCTCCGGCCAACCATGCCCTGACCTATCACACCCCAGCCCAACGTGGCCAATCCTATCCTTCGCCATCCCAGTACGCCCCATCGCAACACACCTCCTCCCACCGCACACCATCCCCTAACACCGCGTGCCATCAAGCCCCAATGTATATGCCTCAAGCTACAGGACGTTTGGTGTCAGCAGGACCACCGATACAGTCAGCTGCAGATTTCATTTCAGCAAGATCACTGATACAATCGCTTGCAGATCTGGTGTCAGCAAGTCCACTGCTACAGTCACCTGCACATCTGGTCTCAGCAAGACCACCGCTACAGTCACCTGCAGATCTGGTGCCAGTAAGACCACCAATACAGTCACCGACATGGTTGCTGCCAGCAGCACCATCAGTACAGTCACCGTTGTCAGTTTCACCTTTGGAGTTGATACAGCCTTTCAATGTGGACCAGCCACAAGTCACGGACTTGTTTCTGTGGCAATTGGCGTCAGGATTTCAGGCATCAAGCCTTGCTATGTCACCAGCAGCAGCACCAGCATCACCATTTGCAGCAGCAGCAGCATCAGCAGCATCCCCACCACCGCCAGCAGCAGCAACAGCCATAGCAGCGCGAGCAGAAGCAGCAGCAGCAGCAGCAGCAGCAGCAGCAGCAGCAGCAGCAGCAGCAGCAGCAGCAGCAGCAGCAGCAGCAGCAGCAGCAGCAGCAGCAGCAGCAGCAGCAGCAGCAGCAGCAGCAGCAGCAGCAGCAGCAGCAGCAGCAGCAGCAGCAGCAGCAGCAGCAGCAGCAGCAGCAGCAGCAACATCAGCATCACCTGCACATTCTCAGGCCAAGATCCATGTCCCAAGCCTGGACGTGGCAGCGCCAGGAGCCATGGAAACAGCAGCGCAGCTCTCGCTTCAGTCACACCTGCAGGCCAGGAAGGAGATGCTATCCGTTACAGTCACATCTGCTCAGGAAAACTTGCAGCAAGGCCAGGACACGCTTCATAGTCCAATATGCACTGAAGGTGATCAGATTGGCAAGGGTGGTGGTCAGCTTGACAGGTCTGACGGTCAAACAGCCATGGGTGACAGTCAAATTGGTACAGATGATGACCAAATGTGTATTGGCAATGTCCAAATGGGTACAGAGTCGTTCGGGCGTCAGCAGCAGGCTGGGCAAAAGGGATCCATGCCGCCAACCATGGGCGGCGTTCCAAATGACGGGAAGGCGCTTGAGAACTTTGACAGATTACTTGAGTCAATGTCCTTTGATGGCAATGACCTACTCGAGTGGTCTGTGCTAGCAAAACCTTTGGACGAATTTTGGCAGGAGAATGCGGGTTCTACAAACTTACTTTAGGGTGTAGGTGTGTGTGTAGAAGTGCAATGGAATATAATGCATCTTAGAGAAGACTCAATAATGACCGAATAAAAAAAATGAATAATTATAATCGAGCAAAAAAAACAAACAAACAAACAAACAAACAAACAAAAAACAAGTAGATGAGTATATAATTAGAAAGAATAGTCTGAACAATATTTATACATTCGTTTTTCTCTCTCACTAACCTCTTCAGGCCCACATGATACCGCTGTCAAAGAGAAAGGCCCCGCCCTCGCTTGGGTGCAGCCGACCTCGCCGTCGACCAAGAGAACTCGACAGAGTGGTCGTCGAGTGAGTCCCCGCTGGTCGTCAGGAGTGGTGGTCGAGGAGAACCAGCTCGACCGGACCCGGTCGACATCGTCGACGGAACTCGCTCGTCGACGACAGTGGTCGTCGGCGAGCTCGACGACGAGTGCTGGTCGACGAGTCCGTCGAGATGTGTTTGTTAGAATGAACAAGTGTGTTTGAACTAACAAGATTGGGAGTACAAGTAGGAAACCCTAGAATGTTGTACTCCCTAAGGCTAAACCCACTATAGCCTACACAATGTAAACATATAATGTTTGACACACCCCCATAGGCTAAGTGGGGGAGAACAAGGGGTCACCAGACCAGTCAAAGCAAGGCAAAGTAAAACAAGCTCAGGGTGGATCTCAAGGATACCACACGAATTCCGAGCACAAGCAAGTGGTCACAAGACCAGTTCACATGCAGTTTGATAATATAACAAGAGGTACAGTGATCACAACCTAGCAAGTGTAAACATGCAGGTATATATATAGAGATCACAGTACAAACAGAGTCAAGAAGTGAGCAAGTGAGGGAGAGTAGGCACAAGGCCTAGAACAGTACAGAAACGCTGATGGTCACAAGGCTGAAGCGCCTTGGTGAACACATCAGCAGTGTTGGCCCGAGTGGCCACGTAACGCAGACGAAGCTGACCACGCTGCTGCAACTCTCGAGCAAGGAAGTAGCGCAGAGCGATGTGCTTCGTTCTGTGCTCCAGTCTGTGCCCCTGACACAAGGCAAGGGCGGCCTTGTTGTCGACGTACAGCACTGGAGGAGAACGAGGCTGCTCTCCCAGGTCGGTCAGCAGGTAGGTGAGCCAGCGTAGCTCCTGTGCAGCCATGGCGGTGGCGTAGATCTCAGCCTCACAACTGGAGCTGAGAACTGAAGACGAGCGTGTAGAACGCCAAGACACTGAGCCAGAGCCAAGGCTGAAGGTGTAACCCTGAGACGACCGCTGCGTAGCTTGGTCGTCAGCCCAAGAAGCGTCTGAGTGTCCAGTGAGGACAACGTCGCGCCGTCCTCCAAGCACAAGCCCCATGCCCGACGTACTGCACAAGTAGCGCAACACCCTCTTAGCGGCATCCATGTGCTCCTTCCGGTGACGGCCAGGAGCGACATAGCGCGCTAGGATGCTAAGAGGGTATGCAAGGTCAGGTCGAGTGCAGGTCATCAGGTACATGAGGCAGCCCACAAGCCCTGGATATGGGCCACTCGGCTCTACGGACTCATCCGAAGGCAGAGCTAAGAGCGAGTGACCAGTAGGCAGAGGAGTGGGCTGAGGCGAGGAGTACGTGAAGCGGAAGCGCTGAAGGACCTGCTGCACCATGTGTGACTGAGTCAAGATGATGGTGCGCTGTGCTCTGTCCCGGGTGATCCGCAAGCCAAGATAGCTTGTCAGCTCACCCAGGTCTGTGCACGTGTGTCTCTTCTGCAGCTCCGACTTCACGTGGGCGAGTGCCTCAGTGTCAGCAGTAGCAAAGACCAAGTCGTCGACGTACACGAGAACGTAGAACGGCGGCAGAGTGGTGTCGGTGCGTAGAAACAGCGACGGGTCAGCAGTAGAAGGAGCAAACCCAAGAGCCGCAAGCGTAGTCCTCAGTGTGTCGTGCCACTCACGGGGTGCCTGGCGGAGACCGTAGACTGGCCGCCGGAGGCTCCACTGGGTACCAGGAGGGAACGACCCAGTGAAGCCAGGTGGGCGGCGCAGCCAGATCTCCTCGTGTAGGCTGCCCTGTAGGAACGCAGTGCTGAAGTCAAGAGAGTGGAGCTCGTAGTCACGCTGAGCAGCGACGTGCAGCAGAACCCGAAGAGTGGTCATCTTCGGGGTCGGGGAGAAGGTCTGGAAGAAGTCAACTCCCTCTCGCTGACTGAAGCCTCGAGCAACGTAACGCGCCTTGAAGACAGGCGGAGAACCCGGCGGCCGCTTCACCCTGAAAATCCACATGCCACTGACAATGTTTGCCCCAGGTGGGGGAACCTCGTCGACGTAGGTGCCTGTGGACTTCCAGGAAGCCATCTCTGCGTCCATGGCTGTCTGCCACTGAGAGGAGTAGGGACCCTCCATCGCCTCTGCGTAGGAGCGTGGGGTCGGGATGTCTGGTGCATCCGGGTCTCCCTCAGGGGCAATCAGCATGGACACGAGATGAGGTAAAGCAGCAGCAAAGCACTCAAACTCCTCCTGTCTGTCCTCAAGGACGTCCGTGCCAAGAGCACACTCACCCCCGACGGACGGAGGACAGACAGACTCAGACTCAGCAACAAGGCTAGCGGCGTAGTCTAGACGACAGGCGGCAGCAAAGTCCACAAGCTCAGCGACTAGAGCAGACGCAGCAGAGGACTCAAAGGTAGGGTCAGTGACAACAGTGGCAAGGAGACGCGCGACAGTAGGACTGGCAGCACGAGTAAGGTCTGACGGCGGGTCAGCAACGTCAGGAAGAGAGGACGCAGGAGGAGACGGCAGAGGGACACGCTGTGGAGCAGTGGAAGGACGCAGGGTCATATAGTGAGTGCCAAGGACAGGAGGAGGACGCTCACGCGGAACACGACGACGAGTGCGGGCAGCGCGGACAGGCGACTCTGGACGAGGCTCAGGAGACGCAGGACTGGACTCAGGCGACGGAGGACGAGACTCAGGCTCACGACGCTCCGTAAGACTACCCGTCGGCGCAGTGTAAGGAGAAGGGGCAGGCAGCGGAGAGGCAGACTGTAACTGTGACTGCGACTGGACAGACGGTGGACTCAGTAGGGGAGGAGAAGGACCAGTAGAGGGCGGGAGACCAAGAACCTGCTGAAGGAGCGGAACGTAGTACGGCCGCGGCCGCTCAGCACCTCCAGCGACAACCCCCTCAGCAGGCCCAGTCCCAGCAGCTCCAGTACCTCCAGTACGAGCACCTCCAGGACCAGTAGCTCCAGCAGCTCCAGCAGCACCAGCAGCACCAGCACCTCCAGTAGTAGCAGCACCTCCAGCAGCTCCAGTAGCACCAGCACCAGCAGCACCTCCAGCAGCGTCAGCAGCACCAGCAGCACCTCCAGTAGTAGCAGCACCTCCAGCAGCGTCAGCAGCACCAGCACCTCCAGCAGCTCCAGCAGCACCAGCAGCACCACCAGCAGCAGCAGCACCTCCAGCAGCTCCAGTAGCTCCAGCACCAGCAGCACCTCCAGCAGCGCCAGCAGCACCGCCAGCAGCAGCACCTCCAGCAGCTCCAGCACCAGCAGCACCTCCAGTAACGCCAGCAGCACCGCCAGCAGCAGCAGCACCTCCAGCACCAGGGTCCGCGACACTAGGAGCGCCACTCCGGAGACTGCAGCGCCGAGCGTACCACTCTCGGAGCCGCCGGGGAGAGGGCAGCTCCCGCCTAGGAGGGGAAGCACTAGCACCAGCTCCAGCAGCACTCCTAGCTCCAGAAGCACCTCTCCTGAGGCTGCAGTACTGTAAGTACCACTCACGCAGCTGCTGTGAGGAGAGAGCTCCTCCAGGTGTAGCACTCCCAGGCTCAGCACCTCCAGACTCAGCACCCGCAGGCTCCGCACCTCCAGGCTCAGCACCCCCAGACTCCGCAACCCCAGGCTCCGCACCCCCAGGCTCCGCACCCCCAGGCTCCGCACGCTCAGGCTCAGCACCCCTAGCAGGACGAGAGTCGACAGCTACCTCGACAGGCTCAACCGGGTCTACCTGGGACACACCTGAGGGAGCGGCACCCTGAGGGGGAAGGGGGTCTACCACAGCAGCACCTGGCGCGAGGAAGAGAGGCGGGGGGGGGAGCGGGGCAGTGCGGTAGGGGAAGAGGCGGTAGTAGGGCACCGACTCGTCAAAAGTGACGTCCTGAGAGGGCAGGACACGGCGCGAGGTGGCGTGGTAAAACTGCCAACCACACGCGTCCGGGACAAAGCCAAGGAAGACACAAGGAACAGCGCGGGAGGAGAGCTTGTCCGCGGACGTATCGCGGACAAAAGCTCGAGATCCCTAGACCCGGAAACGTGACGCATCGCCAACCTCCCCCGTCCACAGCAGTGTGGGCGAGGTCTCCGGCAAGGAGACACGGGGCCAGAGGTTGAGCTGATGCGCAGCGTACCGGACCGCAAACGGCCACAGAAAGTGGGGGGCAGCCGCATGGATCAAGGAGGTACGAGCGACCTCCATGACCAAGCCAATGCGGCGCTCAGCAACCCCATTCTGCTGTGGAGAGGCCGGAAGCGTGAACGACTGGCGGATGCCGTGCTCCGCACAGTAGGCTGCCAAGAGGTCGGAGGAGAACTCACCACCTCTGTCAGAGTGCAGACGCAAGACAAGAAAGTCCGAGTGGAACCGCTCGCTGAGCTGGAGACGAGAAGCG